AGGCTGTTTGCTTTAACAAGTTTGGCTTTAACATTTATTTAAACAAAATGCAAATATAAAGAGGGAAATCGGTATGGAAAAATATATCAACAAAATATATAAAAGAATAAAGATATAGATACTGCAGGACTACGACTAGAGCTGCTCCGCAAATCGAGTTTTCACTGTACATGCCAGTTCTCTTATCAGCTGCAGCCCCGTATCAAAGTCGTTTCAAAGGTATGCAAAGGCACAGGCAAATGCACATGCGAACAGACAGACACATTTCAAATGAAATAGAGATAAGAAGACAACAACAACGAAAACAAAATAGAAATTCTAATAAAACAACATTTCCAGTTAGACAGTTAGAACGCACAACACCGTTTGCTGCTCTGATTACGAAATGGAGACACAGCAAACCCATAAAGAAGTATAAGACAGGGCAAGAAAACAACAGCAAACCAACCCCGTTTCATATGTTATTTCCCTGTAGGATATGTTAACCCCCAAAAAAGGTAAAAAAAAAATAAAAAAAATTATTTTTATACGGATTTAATAGCATAAATAAAGTCAATGAACCCCTTTAGCCTCCACCGGATGCTGTTGAAATGCGCCAACGCTTTATCATTATGCCCCAAACATAAGAAAAACAAAATAAAAGAGACAAAGCCAAGAACAACAACAACAGTTAATAAGTAGCCCACGCATAATGCAAAATGTTTGTGCTAAAAATGTGCACAGTAAAACACACACACATTCACAACAAAGCAGAGCGGTTAGAGGTGAAAGAGTAACAGAGAGATAGGGCATCATTAGAGATGAGCGAGGGGGCAATTGCAAATTGGAAAATACATTATAAATGGGAAAGGGTGAAAGAGTGCAAGGCAGCAAATGAACAAAATACTTTATTCAGCAATGCATCTAAATTTTGTCATTTTGTAAGAAATTATTCACTGCACTTAATTGCGCTATGCACATACGTATGCATTTAGCTGCATGCACGATTAATTCGTGTCACGGCACGTGCGCACATCTAATGGCGAGTGCTTGCACTTGCGCAAATAGCGCGACAAACTTCAAAAAGGGAGCACAAATTTGCTGTTGTTCTTGTTTTTGTTGTTGTTGTTACTGTTAATGTAGCTCTGGTTCCTGTTGTTTTGTTGTTGCTGCTGCTGGCTGGCTGGCAATGAAAGGAGTTTTCATGGCTTATGGTTGGACTGGAATCGACACTGGAGGGCCTTGGAATATGAAGTGCGTGAGACTGTTTGTGAAGCTGGAAGCTGTGTTTGTGTGTCTGCCTTTCAGCTTTTGAGTAATTAGCACACTTGAGTGGAACGCAGAGAGGGAACGATAGAATAACAACAAAGGCAAGTGCAAGAAGCAGCACATTTCAAGGATACTCACGGTTCTTGAATATATTCGCAGTCAGCTTCCAGCTGCAGTTGCAACGCAGCGGCGCTTCAAAAGAATCCTGCAAACAATTACACAGCGTTTCCTCCCCTTGCAGCCGGCACCCGGTTTTGGTTTGTGTATATATATATATTTGTGTGTGTGTGTTAGTTATTTTTGTTGCTGCAGTTGTTTTTGTTTAGTTGGGCTGCAGCACATTCCAGGCGGCAAAAGCGCACAAAAGAGTATAGAAGAGGAGAGCACGCGTCTCGCTCTCTCCACCCGTCTTCACCAGCAGGACTTTGGGCTTTGTTCAAACAAACTACCCTGACGGCGATCCTTGCACAGTTGTTATTGCTCTTGCTGTTATAATTCTTGTTGTACACACACGCACACAAGTAAAATCACAATCACAGACACGCACTCACACACATGCACATAAAATTATTCACTTTTTAAATTTAAATATGTACACACTTTTCGCCGCTATTTTTTATCTTTTCTTCTATTTCTATTTTCGCACTGTTCTCAAAGCAAGCAACAGTAAAGCGCCGTTGCCGCCGCCACCTTCGTCGTCTAACAGTTAATTTTTTTTTTCGCCAGGCGCCGTCGTCTCGATTTCAAAGCTGCTCCTGTCAATTACAATTTGCATTTTCTTTATTTAATTCAAGACATAATAAAAATAATACAACCGCCGAATTGTAGGAAACTGATTTTAAAACCAATGCTAATACGTTTTATATGCACGCACACTATTACACGGCTGTTTTATTTAGGCGCGCGCTTTATTCGGTGCATTATTATGTTATCAAATAGCATTTAATTATTTAACAAATTTAACACTTTAAATCGCGCGCACCGTCTGCCGCACGTCTGACTCGCTCGGCGTTGTTTTTGCTTCTGTCTCTTCGATAGCAACTGCACAGTGTTGAAGAGCGCATAAAACGATAAGTTTACGTACGATAGATCGATAGGCGTATCATATTGCTCATATTTGCGCTGCTGTAGTTGAGTATGCGACCAACTTCATGTAGAATGCTGTAACGGAAATTCAAAATATTTTTGAAAGAAACAAAAATATACGGAATTATATTGAATTCATTAAAAATTAAATACATGTGAAATAATTATTATATTTAAATGAACTTTTTAACAACATTTAAGGTATTTATTTGTTCTTCATTTGTTTCATTTATCCGTTTAAAATCTCGATTTTTAAGGTAATACGTCAGCATTATCACACAAGCCTAGCTTATAATAAAAATATATGAAATAGTAGCATATACAAAATACGTAAAACATACAAAAACAATACCAAAAAGCAACATTTTTTTTCTTTTATAAATAATAGGAAAGAAAACAAATTTAGTTTTCCTTCTTTAGTCCTTCTCCAGCCTCTGCACACTTAATTTGATATCCTTTCTAGGTATCAGCAATAGCTTGCTGGGGTCATAGAGCATGGGTATTTGAGTCTCTGCGCTGGGCTCGTACTTGTGGTGCTCCAACAGGGCAACTAAACCGATTAGTAGCTGCTGCTCTGCCAGTTGCTTGGCTATGCAGCCACGCAGACCCTGGCCGAAGGGCAGAAAGGACATCGCCGGCCTTTTAAGCACTGCCTCCGGCCTAAAGCGCTCCGGATCGAAGCGTTCGGGCTCTACATAAATATTCGGATCCCGATGTATGGCTGCAACGGGAATTACCACATTGTTGCCACGAGCGATGACAAAGACCGATTCGGTCAGCTCGAATTCACGCGTGGCACGGCGCAGCAGAAAGGGATAAGGCGTATGCAGACGAAGCGTTTCTGTAAGGATCACAGAATGACAGAACAAAGATAAGATACAGATATATTACAGCTGAGATTTACTAACCATTTAGCACTTGCTTCGTATAGCTGAGTTGCTTGAGTCCGTCTGTCGTCAGCTGTCCGTCGTTTGCCTTCAGCACTCGTTTAATCTCCGCTCTCGTGCGCTCTTGGAGCTCCGGCTGCAGCGCTAGCTCATAGAGACAGAAGCCAAGAGTCGCATTCAGTGGCTGAAGACCAGCCAAAATAAACCCGAACGCCTGAGCCGCAATCTGAGCATCCGTCAGCGATTTGTCAGTGGCGGCAAAGAGTTGCAGAAAGCTTTGCAGGGGCTGGCGATCTCTCTTGCGCTGTTGCTGCAATTGCTCCTGGACTAGTTTATAGAAGTAGTCATTGGCTAGCCGTTCGTAGCTCTGGTACTTCACAAGGCGCGCGAGTATGGGCAGCTCCATGGCCAAATAGGCGCGCCACAAGCTCCAGTTGCTCCAGTAGCTGCGAGTCATTAAGGAAAACTCTGATAGATCCTCGGACGACAGGCCATAAGCTAGCTTCGCTATCGACTCTACATTGTAGCTGTCCAGCAGTTGGCTAACATTCAACTCCTGCTTTCTCACTCCCAATCCCAACTGCAACTTCCTCGAAGACTTCAGCAATTGTGGCAGTAGCTTGTGCAGATTGTTGGCTGCAAAAACTGGCGCGGATTGAGCATGCAGCTGTCTCCACCGGTGCCCATCCAACTGGAATAGATTTCCGGACAGCGGCTCCACTTTTACATTATTGTAGAGTCCTCTACTGGTGAAGTAGCCGTCATTGCTGTCCAAAATGTTGCTCACCAGTTCCAAGTCCAAGATCAACAGAAAGGCCTTACATAGCACATAACACCCGATGAAGGGCGCGCGTCCTTTGTAGCTCTCGTAGAGGTAGAGCAGGAGCTGCTGGACATGCTTCTTGCCGCGCACCACCTCCGAAATGTTGCCCCACAGAAATTTTGGCTTGACATGGAGTATGCCACGTCGCTTCCAATAGCCCAAGCAGAATTTCACAAGAGCATAGAAGAGGGCCAGAGCTCCCAGAGAGCTCCAGAGAATGTGCTGCATTAGCTCCATCTGAGTCTGGATGCTTGAATGTACGTTGAGATACGACTTTGTTGCAGGTGGAGCTAGCTAGATTCAGTTGCTTCTCGGATAGGGAGTAAACTTCTTCAATTCAATCTGGGTAAGCTGCTGCCGTCCTGGTGGATCCGTTCCTAGAGGTAAAAGCTCCCCTCCAGTTGGATCTAGGCTAAGCAGCTACCTTCTTCCAATTGCAGTTTCTATATACTGGTTATTTCGTTTGCCTTTACGTTTGATAAGCGTTTCAGTCTCGCTACTGGCTTATCAGCGCCATGGTTCTAGTGTAGAAATATTGATTTGCTTATCAAATGACTCGATTTCTGGCCATAACGAGCGCTAGGAAAGCGGGAGAGAGAAAGAGAACAAATTAACTATAGACTCAATGGGGGACGAACTCGAGTATTCGATTAGTGTCATAACAAATATATAATACCCTGTAATGTAGTAGTACTAGACGCTTGAACAGAAAGCAAATAAACTTGTCTAATTTATGTTACATAATACGCAGTAAGCTTATAGATCCCCTATAGAGTCCATGTTATGAATTTTCGTACGATATAAATTTACATATATCAAATGACGTAAAGTAGGCAACATCGTTTCCATTCGAATTAAAGCTCCTTTTTCATTAATCATTTCTATTTTTCTAACATTTGTTAAGTAGGCAACACTGCCAACTTGCCCGATCCTTTCCAATCGTTTTAGCAGTGGTATAAACTAGTGCAATTTATTGTTTTTGTCAACTTCATTTGATTTGGCAGCACCGTTTCCGTTGGCAGTTTTTACTTTTCCAGTATGAAGCACAGATTGTATGCGCTGCCTTCCAGCTCGCTGCTGTGCATCCAACGCACATAACCTCGTTCAATCAGCTGTTGCTTGGAGCTGGGCACGCCTACGAAATGTGGATCCTTAAAAAAAGTCCAAATTAGTTTTAATTGGGTTCACGTTTAGGGTCACTCACCACAATGAGCAGTGAACAGCCCGCCGTTTGGCTCAGGTGAATGCCCGCAATGGCCTTTGAAGCGGTGTCACTTAACCCGCCCATAACAATTAAACCGCAATAATCCACAAAGTATTCACGAATCTGCTTTAGCACCTGCTCACTGTTCAGTTGTTGCACGTGTGCAAATTTGCAGGGTATATCAAATAGGGAATCTATCACAAAAAACTCCTCCATGGTGCCTATCCAATCGCGTGAGCCAACAAATCGTGCAGGTTTGTCGCCAATCCTCACCAGCAAGCTCTGAACCTCCTCTATGGAGGGCACATTCCACATGGCCGTCCTTCCACTGCGCCTGTTTATAATCCAAGAGATGGCCGTTTGGAGCGTTCGGTAGCCGCAGCCCCAGCCCGCGTCCGAATGGCCATCGCAGCCGTAATGGAAGTACTTGAAGCTTCCTTGCGTATATAAGGTCTCACCTTTACTACCTGCTGGTGGTTGCAGAGCCAGGTGCACATCTTCCAATAACTCGTATTTATATGTTTTCTTCACAATTTCAACTTTCGACTCTGATTCACAGGTGGCTGTGTTTGTTGTCATAGTTGTTTACACGGTCGATAGACTATATGTGTATGCGCCCTATATATAACTATATTTATTTATAGTTGCGATATTTACCTTTTGCTACGTTGCAACATTAATTTTAGAAATTTAGAAATCAGATGTTTACTGCCTCGATAACGATAATACTATGTTGCAATGTTTGCCAATTGCAATTCATTTATCAGACTATCGATATGCATACATTTTTATTGTCATATCACTTTTGGCGCTAATTTCAAAGTACACCAGAATCTTGTCTTCGTGTATCGATATGTGTTTGTCAGCTCTAATCGACAATTTATTCGCACCAAGTTTGAATTGCAAACATCACTTTTTATATATCTTCAAAAATCTTAGGCGCTACGCATTTATTTAGATTTACAAATATATTTCTAGCTATATAAATGTCAAAAATTATGCGCCACTCCATATATATATATAATAATATAAAACGAATGGCCTCGTTGTTTAACGCTTAGCGTATTCATTTAAAATAAATCCATTTCGCCACAATTCACATCGATAATATCATCGTCGTAGCTGATCAATTGCTTAAGGCTTGCTGCTGCTGTGGCAGCTTTTGAAGTCGATGGCAGATCAGTATTATCGACCACATTTATATTTATTTCATGAGTTCTATATTCCGGGCTGCTTTGCTCCTGCCCAACAGGCGATGGCGGAGGATTCGATACTACAAAGAGAGAATAGTTTAGATGAGAATAATTGATAGTGCTTAAATATAATACGGTCTTACAATTGCCTGGCTGTATTTGTGCCAATTCCTTGCGGCTATTTAATGAAGGCATTTCGGTACTCTTTTCACTTAAACATTTCTTTAGCTCCTCAACTTTACGATCCCGTATCAATGAGGCCAGTTGCTTTCGCGACTTGCTCTCATTCTGGCGATCCTCGCTGAAAATTGATTTCTGTTGCGCTGGCGTTATGAGATTATGATGCTTGAGCAGGAATAGAAAAACTCCGCCAGGTGTACGACGACGTCTGCCGTTCTGCAAAGATAAACTGAACTTCAATTCAGAGTTTCATAGATCTAATCTTAGTTTTAACTGACGTTGATCATCATTCCGCCATCAGCTTCGATGCGTTGCGTTTCCTTGTACAGCTCCAGTGGCAAATCTAAGCCAAGTATTTGAACAACACGAACTGCAAAAGAAATTGCAAGCCAGTCTTGAATCTTGAATAAAATTTTATCTTGAATCCTTTGATAACACACCTAAAAGTTCGTCCTTCTCCTCGTACAGTTTACTGGCCATTTCGTTGGCCACATCCTTGGGTTCGCGTCCCGTCACGTCTTGCAAGTCAAGTATGTGTCGCGGCTCACTAGAGTTGTCCGAAGAGCCGCTCGTTGAGGAATTGCCACGACGGGATCTCGACCTTGACCCAAGCCTACTTTTGATCGGACGTCGCTGATCCCGTCGCTGACTGTCCAAGCAGGCAGAGCGTCCTCGCTTGAACGCCGGCTGTGAGCTGTTGCCCTCGTCAGAAGAGTTGGACAGGCGCCGCTTCAGCGCATGCTCTCCATTTAGGCGATATCTCAGAGAGAAATCATAGTTCTCCACATTACGATCGCTGCTGCTTTTGTGGTTCACATCGCAACCGCGCATATTCTCAGTCAATGCCTCCTCCTGCAGTGCCGCTGTCCATATGTTATATTTCTTGAAGCGCGCGCGATTCGGTTCCACAGTCGAGGAGGACGCGGCGTCGGCGGATGAGCAGCCTTCAGCTGTGGCAGAAGACACACGTATCATAACGGTTCTTTTAATGCGCTTCTTGCGCTTTTTGTTGGATCCGAGATTTTCGGTGCGCAGCTTTTTGATGCAGCCCTCTTCAGAGGACTCGCCGCTGGTGCTCTGTTCGCTATTCGTTTGAGACTCATCGTCCAAGGCGCCTTGAAGCTGATGGCAGGTGGCAAGCGAATTTGTTACTTTGCTTTCGGCAACTCCCTTTGCAGCTGTTGCAACGTTTGAAGCCGGCGCCGGCCGCTGCAACGGCGTATAGATATCCTCCTCGCCGCTTGCTGACAGCTGGCATGGCATTATATGTATATTAACTAGCTATTTTTTATATATTCTATGTAGTTCTTTACCTCGCCATCCTCTAAATCGACGTCTTCATTTGACTGCAGCTCCATCATCTTGCAGGAAAAAATTAATTCTCTTAAGGCACTAGTGTTAAAAAACGATTGCACTAACAAAGAAATGTTTCCACTGATGGATGACGGTGTTATCGGTAAAATAGTGGCAGCACTATGCAAGAATGCAAAACCATTGCTAGCATTTTGGAAAATAATATTTAAGTGCTGTAGCCAAAATGATATTAGTTTTTTATTATTCTGTTTTATATATAGAATTTAGATAGAACTCCCAGTATTGTAATATTGATCGCAGCAGCTGATTTATCAAGTGGAAACGACGCAAAAAGAAAATTGCAAACTGTGGCAACTCTATTTGGCATGCAGTAAGAAGAAGAAGACACGTGCATTCTTTCATAAAGTTTGGAACGTGCTTGTTAGACGTAAAAATACAAATTTACGTCTAATTATGGTGCGCCCAAACAATCAGCTGCCGGATAATCTTCCGCAGCTGCAGAACCTGATCAAGCGTGATCCTGAGTCCTACAGCGATGAGTTCCACACGCAATACGAACATTTTTTAAGTTTACTTGAAATCTTTGCCTTAAATCCGGGCGAGGAAAACAAATCGTTGGACGAAATAGTGATGTTTATTGCTCAGGTGGCACAATGCTATCCACAGGTGTGCCAGCAGTTCCCAAAGCACCTGACGGATTTGTTAAGGAGCAGTGCCACTGTCCTAGATCCTGCGATGAGGAATTCCTTTGTCAAAGCGTTGATTCTGCTGCGTAATAAGAATCTGGTTCCAGCATTGGATATATTGGAATTATTTTTTCAACTGCTGCGCTGCCAAGATAAGAATCTACGCACCTTCTTGCAAACACACATCGTAACGGATATAAAGAACATGAATGCGAAGCACAAAGATATGAAGCTTAATTCGGTAAAACTCTGCACTTGAGAATGATCTTCAGTCGTTATTAATTTATTTTTGTTTTAGAGTTTGCAAAACTTTATGTACGGCATGTTAAAGGACGCCAATCCCAAGGCTGCGAAAATGTCGGTTGATATCATGATTGAGTTGTACAAGAAGAACATATGGAACGATGCCAAGACAGTGAACGTGATTGCCAGCGTGGGCTGCTTCTCGAATATAACAAAGGTTTGCAATGCATCCTAATAGTTTCCAATAGAGCACACAGAGAACAAGCATAGCCCATTCCCAATTTCAACTCGCGCTTTAAGCTAGCAACGGTACCTGGTAGCCATAATGCCTAGTGCTCTCACAATATGTATTTCTTTTTGTTTTTGTTTTGTTCACGTGCTACAGATGATACTTGAAAGTGAACTAATTTCCTTGCCTTGCAGGTACTTGTCACATCTCTAAAGTTCTTCCTTGGTCACGATGATGAGGACGAAGCTGGTAGCGATTCCGACAGCGAGGAGGAAGTCGATCTGAAAGGCGCGCTAATGGCAAATCGTGTGAACAAAAAGACGAAGAAACGCCAAAAGCAGCTGCAACAGATTAAGAAGCAAGCGGTCAAAGCGCAAAAGAAAAAGAAAAATGCGCCAGCGTTCAACTTCTCCGGCATTCATCTGATACACAATCCTCAGGGCATGGCCGAGGGTTTGTTTAAGCAGCTGCAGTCGAGTAACGAGCGCTTTGAGGTCAAGCTAATGCACCTGGATGTCATCTCAAGACTAATAGGCATTCATGAGCTATTTCTGTTTGGCTTTTATCCGTATATCACACGGTTTCTGCAGCCGCATCAGCGGCAGGTGACGCGCATTCTACAATTCGCAGCTCAGGCCTCCCACGAGTTAATTCCGGGTGACGTTATTGAGCCCATATTGAAGACAATTGCAAACAATTTCATCACCGAGCGCAATTCGAGTGACGTCATGGCAATAGGCTTGAATGCCACTCGAGAGATTTGCATGCGCTGTCCTTTGGCCATGGGAGAGGACTTGCTGCAGGATCTGGCCATGTACAAGACATACAAGGAGAAGTCCGTGATGATGGCCGCGCGCTCCTTGATCACGCTCTATCGCGAACAGCTGCCTGCTATGCTTCACAAGAAGGATCGAGGCAGACAAACGGAAGCGCAGGCTGAGCGCAAGGTGAGGGCCTATGGCGAAAAGGATGTCAAGGACACTGTGGTGGGTGCAGAGGTGTTGCTCAAGGACTCGAAGACAATTGACATCGGCAGTGATGATGACGACACGGATTCCAATGATGGTGAGTGGGTGACTGTGACCCACAGCGATAACGAGGATCGATGCCAGGAGCAGGCCAGCGATAGCGAGGAGGAGGAAGAGGACGATGACGATGAGGAAGAGGATGATGACGACGAAGATGATGATGAAGAGGCAGAGGCAGAAGAGTCCGATGAAGGCGTTGCCAGTGATTGCGAGGAGTCAACGCGCAAGGAGAAAAAGGAAAACGCAAAGTCGTCTAAGGCAGAAATCAAACTGCTCGATCAGAAGGAAGCTGCGCAGGAGCTGGCTTTGACGCGCATCTTCACTGATGAGGACTTCAAGCGCATCAATGCAGCCAACCTGAAGAAAACTGTGACAAGCGCACGCAAACGTCCTCTGGAGCAGGATCGAGCTGAGTTTGTGAAGCTAAACAGCATCGAGATGATTTATAAGAAACGTAAACACGATAAGGAATCACGATTGGAGACGGTGCAGGCGGGGCGACAGGATCGCGAGCGTTTCGGCTGGAAGGATGGTCGCGTCAATGAGAATTGTTCGAAGACGAATCGAGAGAAACGCAAAACGAAGAACTTTGGCATGTTGCGGCACAAAGCACGCTCCAAGGTGAAGAAGAGCTTCAGGGATAAGCAGCTGGCCATGCGCAAGCATCTACTGCATCAGAAAAAGATGAAGTAGACGCTGAACTGGCAGCTGATGAAGAGGAAAAGGAATTGGACAAAGCTGAATTGGATTAAAAAATGGAGACAAATCGAACAGTAGCTGATTAAACGTTCAATGAAAATAAAGGCCTGCGAACAGCAAGTGGATAGAAATGCAAGTCGAAGTTTCCAAGCAAAGAGCGAGATAGGCGAAATCATCCTCTAAACCGGAAGGTGATATAGCAGAAGATAGATGAGGAAGGGGGAGGCAGCTGGAACAGCGATGAGATGGAAGTCAGATGAGCTAGAAGAGAGGCTGATAAAGATGGAAGACGAAGTGTATCTGTGAATGCAAATCAGTTAAAGTTTCGGGAGCTCCTTTTGTATTGACACTGCAATAAAGTTTATTTCAATTTCTATTTTAATTTACGAGTTATTCTTGGGGGTTCACACATAGAAACTATTCTATCTGCGTCGCTTTTCCGATTTCTTCACACGCTTGGGTCCCTTGACGAAGCACCAATCCACTTGAATCGTTTGTCCCATGATATCTGTGCCATTTAGCGCCTCCTTGGCTGCCAGAGCTTGTTTGTGCGTCTCATACTCAACCAGGGCGTAACCTTTTGAGAAGCCTGTGCGTCGATCTAGATTTAAATGTATGTTCTTAATCTCTCCGTAATCGCAGAATTTCTCCTGTATTTCATCCTCCTGTGCCTCTTCGTGTATGGAGGTCACAAACAGTATCCAGCCCTCGACGGAGCGCTGTGGCCCTGGTTCCAGTTCATCGTCATCCTCGTTACGCACCCTTTCGTAACTGTGAATGGCTTCGCGTGTGTTGCTGTCGCTACCAAAGCCGCGTCCTTTGCGATGTTTAGCTTTCTCCTTCAAACGTACAATGCCCTCTATTTGTGTGGGAGTGGGGTATAATAGTAAAACATGAATAGCCGGCTTGGCAAAACGTTGAAAAATAGCGCGATATTCACATTTCGCACGCTACTTACGGTCGCCATCCTCGTCCACTTCAAACTCTTCGGCATTATCAATATCCAACACATCAGCCATTTTACTTCGATTTGTTGTTTAACTTATTTAAATAGATCTAATTGAACTATTTTAAAGAGATTTCGCCGCGTGTTGTAGTTGTGATTTTTTCAGCGTTCTTTGACAAGATTATAATGTACTAAAAAATACTATGCCGTGAACTGAACTGGTTATTAAAATAGGTTCCAAATTGGTATTTATAAAAATAGTATTAAATACAAATATGATTAACTTGTTATTTTTTTATGAAGTTGGTAATCAAGATATGATTTTCATTTAAAGCTCAAAAGTTATTGTTTTTGCTCGTATTTGAAGAAATAAAATGTCAAAATGGCAGTATTCATTTTAAGGGCTTCTCGTAATTTTGGTATTTTATGGCTAATTATTGTTGGTCACTTGGTACTTTTAGTGCATTAGTGCGAATTATGTTTTTGTCTTTAACAAGTTAAAGGCGAACGCACAGGGGGTCTTCAGTTAAAATCAACTACCGGGTGAGTGAAGAGATAAGCGGTAATTGCGGAATTGATCAATAAATGTATACTATATATGCCCAGAAGGGTGTGTGACATGACCAGCTGCAATCGCTGACAATTAATGTTGTAAATGTTTTGTGCGTGTGTTAGCATACTCATTAATTGTATTAATTATAGGTTTTACGATATTTGTTGCTAACGGAAACCATGGATCAAGGACAAAATGAATCTGCCAATCGATACTCAGGCAATGAGAAATTGGATAAATGTATCCATGATTGGCTTTCTTGGGATCCTAATCCAACGACCAAGAATGAAATCCAAAAATATGTGGATAACGAAGACTGGGAAACGTATGTAAAAAATATATACTAGATATTAATGATTTATAATAGACTCATGTTATTTTCTAAACAGTCTCAAATTGCGGCTTTGTAAACGTATTTCATTTGGAACTGCCGGACTGCGAGCTGAAATGAGAGCGGGCTTCGATTCGATGAACGATTTGGTTGTCATTCAGTAAGTTTCCACTGAATTCGAACTCGAATTCGTATTATTCTCTGGAATGAATGATCTCATGCTAAATGACGTGTAAACTCTTTACAGAACTGCGCAGGGCATTTGCGAGTATTTAAAGAAGCAGTTTCCTGAGAAGTCCTGGAGCGAGCAAGGTATTGTGTTTGGCTACGATGCCAGGCATAATAGCAAGCGTTTTGCACAGCTCTCAGCATTGGTTTTTCTGGAAAATGGCTTTCGTGTTTATCTTTACACGTGCTTTGTGGCCACACCTATTGTGCCATTTAGCATTAAGAAACTGAAATGTTTGGCAGGTGTGCAGGTGACAGCATCTCACAATCGCAAGGAAGACAATGGATATAAGGTAATCAATGCATAGGTACAGTGAAAATTGCCATGAAGGAAGCGAATAACTCATGCGTGTTCGAGAATCATCTAGAACAAACTTCATCAGCACTCCCAATGCTGCAACGCTACAAGTCCCTCATTCTCTGAGAGTCGCGTGATCGAAAGGGATGGCAGATCATACAACATACGCGCCGTTTCTGCTTGCCCTTCAATTTCTCTCTCGCTGAAAGGCATATGTGTATGTGTGTACGTACGAGCACTGCTTTAATGACTCAATCGAGTATTAAACTTCGACTTTAACTCTCTCTCGCACACACACTCATACACTCACACACTCACAACTACATGTATTATCTATATACAAATATGTGATCTAACATATATTTTAACTTTTCCAGGTCTATTGGAGCAATGGAGCGCAAATAATCCCACCGCATGATTCGGAAATACAAAAGGCAATTGAAAAGAACTTGAAGCCACTGATAAAGAAAGATAATCTGGTGTGGAAAGATGATGGGTCTGTAGATGATAAGGCTTTGTGGTCCAAGAAGCAGTTGCAAGATCCCTATGATCAAGTTGTGCCTGCCTACTTCGAAGAATTGATAAATCAAATTCCCAAAGAACTTATCCAGGCCAATCAGGATTGTCCTTTGAAATTCGCATACACGGCCATGCAGGGAGTTGGCTATGAGTTTGTTAAGAAAGCCATCAAGTATGTGAATTTGGAGCCACTCATACCTGTGGAGGAACAAGTCGAGCCCGATCCAGACTTCCGCAAAACACCCATGCCCAATCCCGAGGAGGCCAAAGCTCTTGAGCTAGCCGAAAAGACGGCAATAAACAATAAATGTCAAATCATTCTGGCCAATGATCCGGATGCAGATCGTCTGGCTGTTGCTGAAGTTTACGACAACGAGGTTAAGATCTTTACTGGCAATGAGATAGGCGCACTGTTAGGCTGGTGGGCGTTGGAAATTATGAAGATATCAAAATCGAAAGTAGACACAAATCATGTGATGATCGCGAGCACCGTGAGCTCGAAGATCTTGAAGTCGATGGCGCAAATTGAAGGCTTTACATTCCACGAGACGTTGACGGGCTTTAAGTGGATGGCCAACAAGGCCATCGATGAGGAATTAACAGGTAAAACGGTTCTCTTCGCCTTCGAAGAAGCTATTGGGTTTATGATCTCCACTGTGGTGCCGGACAAGGATGGTGTCAGTGCCGCCGCCCACGTGGCCACCATGGCACGGTATCTATACTGCGAGAAGAAGCTGACACTGCAGCAGCAATTGGAGAGCATCTATAGGCTATATGGCTATCATACTAGCATTTGTTCCTATGTCATCTGTGACGATCAAGTGAAGATCAAGCAGATCTTTAATCGATTGCGCACCTTTGACAACGGCCAGGCGAACAGCTACCCGAAGAGCATTCTCAATGGCAAGTACCAGATCGAGCACGTAAGGGACTTGACCACGGGCTACGACAGCAGCACGGCTGATCTGAAGGCCACTCTGCCAGTTAGCTCCAGCTCCCAGATGATAACCTTTACCTTCGCGAATAACGTTGTCGTCACCCTACGCACCAGCGGCACGGAGCCCAAGATGAAATATTACGCCGAGATATGTGGAGACCGAGAGAATTCGAACTGGGAACAGCTCACGGTGACACTGAAGATTATGGTCGAGGCACTCGTGAATGAGTTCTTCGAGCCAGAGAAAAATAAACTGAAGCTCAAGTCAGCTGTCTGAACGAGCATATAGAATATAACGAATTTATAGCGCACAATCATTCATGATTATATACTATGTGCTACATACTATGATCTACCCAGTTGTACTTGACATTAACCAAATACGCACAGTTATCTTTGTTATATATTTAGACTTTAGCTGATATTTATTCCAACTATATATATACACTTAAGCATATAGTAGACGAAATGTATTTAGCGACATCAATTTACACCCTCCACTGATTTGATTTCACAAATAAAGAATTCCAATTTCAATTCCATCACAATTAAATCCAATCTTTTGATATCAGGTTTCTCCGTATACCCTAGGGATATCGTGAAGCTGTCACCAAGTGTACCAGACATAGGCTATCTGGATTAGCAAGAAAGGTATGTTTATGTAATAGAATATCTTAGAGCTTACTTCGCTCTAGTTGCATTGTTCTATTGCTATATATATATATATATATATATATATTGTCATCATTCCATTAACATCGTTACAGTACTAATAGCGCTGTTCCGCAATTATTAGTTTCAATGTCAATGCCTACCTCTTTCATTTTTCCATTGCAGTATAATTAATCCTTTACCATCAATCCTTAGCCATTGGTGCTATAATTTTATATTTATCAGTAATCATGGCCCTTGCCATCGCTCCGGCGCTGCTTCCAATTCTTTCGTTGTGAAAGGGAGGTCGATATTCGTTTTAATTCATGTGATCTTCAGAAAGGGTATATAGACTTTGTAGTGCTCAGGTTTCACTATTTATTCTGAAGCTTCTGAAACTTAAGTGGAAATCATTAAAAACTTGAGTTGCTCTGCTTCAAAATCAAGTTCTCATAAGTATAAAAGTATACATTATACATATGTATGTATGTCTACGTCATAAATATATTATGTATACAAGTATAATCAGGTTGTTGATTGGATCCATAGATTAACCCCCTCGAAAACAAATGAGGAGATAAGCAAAACGAGTTCATTCGAAAGTAATTTTTCGCAATTTATTTATACAGCATTTGATTGTTTATAAAATATCTATAAATATTGAAATGCATATCGGTTACACATATATGTATGTATGCATGCATATTCTGTTTAAAAGTCGCGATAAAAAAGCATTTAGCTAGAAAATGAAATGAAAAGTTGAGGCAAAAACAAGGCAAAGTATGCTAGCTTATATAAAATGGACATATTTGTATGTAATAAATGGGATGCTAAAACTTATCATTCTATATATAGTATATATATAAAGTGTTATCAGTTTTCATTGTTAGCTCTTACACTCAAAGATTGTGCTTTTAGTAGGTTGCTATGCACAGGTTATATGAAAAATAGAGATAGCTCTATGTATTACATATGTGTATATATATGTATATATGCATTGGCGATATCGTAAAATGCTTGTTAGCAGTCTCTTGCTTAAGTTTATGTATTTGTCACGAGTTACATTCGAAATATAGTGCAGCTTTTTATACTATATATCCTCTATAGATATGTTCGAGTTTTAGTTGATGTTTCATGTATACCTCTATAAATATATATCGGAATCGCGCCTAGAGTATTATTTTAAGACATATTCTAAGCGCAAGTCCTATATCATTTTTAGACCCACAACCAGCGTATATAGGCATAGGTATATACTTTTAGGGACCATGGTTTACTTATACATACAAGTATATATAGTTTATAAATATTTTCTACAAATTATAAAAATCATTTAAAAATCGTTTAGCTGCATTCTTAGATTGTTTTTCTCTTATTTGGAATACTTATGCTTAATACTTTGGGAACTTGTTGAAGTCGTTTCAATGGGACGTTCGATATGTGTGCGTTGAGTTTAGGATATTTTCACTGGGCTATCAAAAGTTTCGGATCAAATTGTTCATCAGACCTACCATATCAAAAATTTAAAATTAAGTCAAATGTAAATATATGAAAACTAAATACAACTTAAATTAAAATAAATCAGAATAAAACAAAAATTTTGAACATTTGAAGAGAGAGTATTGTTTCTAAACTGAATTCGAATTGAATCGGAGTTAAATACCTTAAAATGATATTGCTTAGCTCTAACTATATAACTTCTAAAAAGGAGCTGCCGGGAAGTTAATTACTAGGTTACTTTCGAAAGAGGACGAACTGAGACTTCGAGGAGCAAACAACGAACCAGCCTTCGCCTCGAAGCTGTAGCTGAATGTAATGAGAGAGATATGGCCAGGGCCTCAGCTCTAAAGAGAGGGAATGTCATGATTTCAGTAGGCGAAATATTGGAGACTAGAAATTGAAAATGGATATATGGTGATGAGATAGCGATAATTCGAAAGAAAAGACATATGCAATGAGATACAGGTAGCAGCTCAAGTTATAAAATAGAGCAATGAGAGCTTGATAAAATTTAATGTTGAAAATGTGAGAAAAAGCTGCATGAATGTTAAATCAAATTAATGTAACATGAAAACAATATACTCATTTCACTTTCGTGAGTATAAAAGTCATAAATTGAAAAACATTTGAGCAGCTTTTACCTATAGGAAAGTTAGAGTATTAAAATAAATGTTACAAACTAAATATAAAACCTTTTAAATTGCTAAGCCTTAATTTCTTATATAAAATCTATAAATTTTAGCAGCAGCTGTTTAAATTTTATATAAACTTGTATAAAATATTAATCAAATATTATTAAATATCGGTATGTGGATGTAAAGTATCAGACGAACACATGCAAATACGATGATTGCGTTTGATTGCTGTGCGTGGGCGTTATCAAAGGAGGAGTTCTTTGCTGCTGCTGTTGATGGTGTTGCTGATGATGCTGATGTGGCTGGTGTCATACAGATGTCTCTGAGTTGAGCTTCAATACAAACTTATTGCTCTTGGGATCGACTACCTCCTCAGCCAAGTTAAAGTGGGGCAGCTTGTGCACGGTGACCATCAGGGAGACGTCGTTCTGTATCAACTGGAACGTGCATTCGTTGCTAATGGGGCGCGAGACGATGTCGTCACAAATCAGTGACCACGATTGCACCCAGCGACGCTCCTTCTCGCTCTGCATGACTGGCGATTCGGTCAGATAAGGCTCCAGGAAGGCGCGCGGCGACAAGTCATGCTTGAGGCAGTGCGCCAGATGCTTGAGTATGCTCTCAAAGGTGTGCCTTGGCTGCTGCCGTGTGACACGCAAATATTTCTGCAGAGCGCGAGCCATCGAGGGAAACACCGCCTGAGCTGCCTCTTGGGGATCCAGGGGCAAGGCGGGAGCTGGTTCATTGTGTATGCGCTTGATGTGAGTGAAGGCCTCCTCGGCGGCTGTGATAAGGCGTGCGCGTCGCTTCTTGACCCTCCGCTCGTACTCGTGCTCCTCGTAGAAGCGTTCGTTGTGCGAGGAGTCGCGACGTCTTGCATTTGCCGCCAGCACAGCTCGACTCTGGCTCTGCTGCTGCGAGTTGCTGACGCCATCGACCTCGTAGTATTTGAAGCTGTTCGAGATTTTGTTACGTTGCGACTTCGATATTGATATGGGTATGCGCTCCAGATACGGATTGAAGATGGGAAAGTCCACATAGTAGTGCTGCAGCACCCACACGGCAGCACGCTGAATGCTCAGCTGGCCAAGCATATACGAGTGCGAAACGCCGTCTGGGGAGCGTATGATCTTAACATAATAGCATGGCTGCTGATGGCGCAGCTCCAGTAGGACAACCGCCACATAGTGTATGAAGAGCAGCGTGTCCACAAAGTTGGTCGCATAGCCAACTAGCGATTTATAGTCAACAGTATCGCCGCCGGTTTCCACCACAATCTTGGCGCTGTTCGTGACCTGCACAATGTAGAAGAGCCAATAGGCAAAGGTGCAAATGGTGACCAGGAGCAGCACGATCGCACGATACAGAAAAATCCGCGGCATGCTGGCCGCTGTGCGACGCATGAACAGGGCCCACAATCCAATGGCTAGCAACAGCAGTCGAGCGGCCAGCGAGACGAGCTGTCCCTTGCACTGCTCGCTGCATGCCAGCAGCTGTGTGCGCACAGTCTGGGTCAATTCCGGATGATCGAAGGCCGACGGAAAGAAGCCAATGTATGGCATCACGACCATGGCGACGGGCGAGAAGAATGCGCCACAGCCGAGCAGGAAGTAGAATGTTGATTCCACGTAGCGACGACAAGCGAAGCCGAATCCTTTCTCATTCTCCCTGTGCCACATATTGTTGATGTCCTCCATGGAAATGCTTTGCTCCGAGGTGTTGCCCGTGACAGCCGTTGTATTCTCACCCCAATTCTCATCCTGTGGCAATATCTGCACCTCAATCACCTCCTGGCCATCGCGAGAATCGTCACCTGGCAAGCCGTATAAGGGTGAGCTTCCCATTTGTATATACATGGCTGTGAATTACTCACCTGTCATATTAACACTTGTTTGATAGGGCGCCATATCGCTGCGCCCTTTGCCGGATTTCGAGGAATGGGTGCTCCGATGTGAGTGCCTTGAGCGATCTCTGTGATATCCGTTGTTAACGGTGCCTCCGCCTCCGCCACCACCACCTCCGCCTCCTCCCCCTCCCCCACTATTGTTGTTGTGATTGCGAGAGCGTCGCGAGCGTCCACTATGTTCCGATTTGACGGATTCGTTTTCCATTGCAAGCAAACAACAAAAATTGCAATTGTTGGCGTCCGTGCGTGGGCGTCAACACCTGAAACTCGCTTTGTAGCCTAATTAACTGACCGCGCTGGCTATTTTACTGTCTAACTGTAATTACGGCAGGTTTTTCCCATATGCATATACATGTATGTGTTTTTCTTTGTATGCGCGTGTGTGTGTGTTCGCAGCACATTCATAGGTATTTGTTGCAAGCGGTGCGCTGGGTGGAGTCTATGCCGTTTCCACTGTTGCACATAGCTTTGCAGCCAATTTTATAACTAACAAAGGAGTACATGAACACTTTGTAGCATTTGCATATTGCTTTCATTAATATTTTTCACTATTTAATACACATTTTCACTGCTTTTTATTTCACTAAGGCGCTGCTTCGCTCTGCATTCAACCCCGACCAACAAGAATGGCAGCCAGTGTCACCACACTAAAGGAAAATAAGACAACTATGCACTAGTGATGTAAGAAATCATCGATGCATCGAGCATCGATGTTTTATTACCAATTTTTACCGATGTTTTCCGATGTTTTCGCTGATACCGATGTTGAATGATGTATCGATGTTTTGCAAAACATCGCAACCTTTTTTCTTTTTGGGAAGGAATAAAAAGTACCTATCCCAATTTATTCAAAATTGCAATCACATTTTTTTCTTATGATGGTATCTTTTTTTCCCTCTAAAATAATATGTAATTCAGTTTAAGTTTAGTGAAATGTATAAGACTGCTATGAAAGCAAAAGATATCTCTCCTATATTAAAAATTTGAAAGTTAGACCTTAAGTAAAATACTGCTATGAAAGCTCAATTTTATTTTTTATTTTTGTTAAATAATGTTGAATCATGTTAAGTTTTTTTTAATAACAAAAACGCCATGAGAGCACCAGTAAATAAGTAAAAAAAATAAATACAAAATACATCGATGCATCGAATTTTCAATCCGATGTATTAATCCAACATCGATGCTTGATTTTGAAAACATTGATGGACATCGACATCGATGTTTACATTCAGATTTACATCATTACTATGCACCCATACACACGCTGGCTATACTTTGGTATTTTACAGCACTACTTGTGTGCAAAATGCTCTGTTTAGCTGGAATTTATTACAATAATTGGAACTGGGGCCCAGCTGCGCCTTCAATAGCTCAGGTGGTAGAGCGATGCACTGTAGTAAAAATATTTTTGTAGACTCCACAGGTCGCTGGTTCGACTCCAAGGGATTCACTTCATTTTTTTTGCGCTTTTTAATGTTCTTTTTTAAATTAAAAAAAAAAAATACATCAACATTTTCTTAATGTTTTTACTATTTAGAGGCTAGCACGCAGTTATACTGCGTAGCAGCTGCCTGGCTTGCTGATTGATTGGATTCATGCGTATGGCGCTTTGAATAAGCTTGAGGGATTGAGTCCTATCCACACGTTCTAGAGCTCGGCTGGCATAGATGGTTGTCTCTGACAGCTCATTGGCATTGTTGCTGATATGCATATATAAGAAAAACGTTAGATATACAATCAAACATATACACAAATAGAGGGATGCCTACCTGTCACTCAAGAAGCTGGGCTTTAATTTGAGGGTCATCAAAGCCATATTAGCTAAGGCTTTTTCATAAGTCGCATCGTTCGGGAAATAGTCCAGCAGAAATTTGACAAAAATTTTGCGTACCGCAGGACTTTGAGGAAACATACGCACGCGTTGTTGAAGATAGTTCAAAGCCTGACGAGGGCCCTCCTGAAAAAGAGAGATATTATAGTTATAGTGATAAATAAAATTTAAATTTTCATTGCTCACATTAATTAAGCAGTAATTAGCAGTTAGGTAGGATACATCAGTCGAGTACTTCTCATTGAATTGATACTTCTGTAGCTCTGGCATAATGATCTTAATCAGCTCGTTATCCCGATGCAGCACGCCCAAAGCAAAGGCCGAGAATAAGGCTTGAATGGGAGCATCTTTGAGAAGTATGCTATTCGAATATATAGAAACAGATTAGACTCGATAGAGATACAGACTTGAGAGCTATTTCTCGCATACCATTGATAAAGCAGTGTTTTGGTATCCGTATCGCCTTGCGAGGCATATACTAAGGAGGCCATGGCAACCAATATAGTGGCTGCCTTTTCTTCATCCTGCCCCATGTCGCTGGCCAACAGGTTGGAGTATGTTGCATACGATTCATGAGATTGTCCACAGCGATAATAGGCCAAAGCCAGGCCAGATATGGGCTTAAAGGAAGCATGGGCTACCTTGTCAAAGGCGTTAACTGCCTGCTCCGGCTGACCGAGCTTCAAGTAAAGATACCCTAGATTCGTATAAAGATTATCTCGGTCTGTGCCGGGCTGCGCTTGCTGGCAGGCGCGTGTAAATGAATTAATTGCCTGCTTGTAGAGCTTTTGGCGTGCGAAAAGAAAGCCCTGAAATGTAAGCGACGCAATGCAGGCCTCCGACTCCTCATTCTGCACAAACCTGAAATAGACAAATCATAATCAAAATGTTATGCAATAAAAACATTTAGAAATAGCAGACCAATTGATGGCATCCAAGGCATATATATCCGCATGCATATGCTCTATTGCATGCTTGTTGTGCGGCTTATCGCGCAGCACCGGATCGGAGAGCACACGGCAAACCCAATGGGCATAACCAATAGCTGCTTCTGGATGATATTCGAACTGCTGGCAATGTCGAAATAAATCGAAAGCCTCCTCCTGCTCGCCAATTATTTCAGCTACCAAAGCCTGTCCTATCCAAGCATTCGGATAAATCGGACTCGATTGCTGGGCACGCTTAAAGGCCTCGTTAGCTAATCTTATATCGCCTAGCTTAAAATACAATACGCCGAGATTTGTCCAAGCTGTATAGGATTTTCGTTCAGTCACAACAGCTTGGATCAAACAATGTTGGGCCACAGGAAAATTCTCATTGGCTGCGTGCATATTGATCACACCCAACAGATTCCAGTTCTGCCAGCGATTGCTCTGTGCCTTGATGGCCATCTTGCACACCTTGGCAGCTATCTCCAGATGGCTCTTCGCATCCTCTGGCATGTAGACGGCGCTATAGTAGCTGCATAAGGCCAACTCATACCACAAGAATGTGTTTTGCTTCAGTTTTAAGGCGCACAAGTAAAATCTTTGCGCCAGCTGCAGTAGATCTTTGCGTGATAGATACACAATTTTCTCCTCTCGCTTCGCCAAATTGCCCGCGACATCCAAATTAGCCAAGGATTTAGGTAACTGGGCTGTTTGCACCAAAACACTCGCAGTGAGTCGCCAAAGCCAAACCATGCACTGAGCCTTGCTTTGCAAGAAGACACTAAAGAGAATTGAAAAGGAAACTAATTAATTTGATCCAATATTCAATATGTACTGCTCAACAACCTCTGCAGATGCTCCAAAGCCATTTGCAAGTTATCCTTGGCACGTCCATACAGATTTTGACTCTTTAGATTGTGGGCAAGACTTATATGCGCCTCTGCAGCGCCTTTCAAAGCAGGCAAATAATCTGGGTACTGTTTGAGTAGCTCATCAAAGTCAGCAATTGCCTCTGGATACATGCGAATGGTCTGAAAGACATAAAGATATAAGTTAATATATACTATATATAAACTAAATCTGTTCAATTACCGTTTTAATCAGAGCTATTTGCAGTTGAGCGTAACTGTTGTTGGGCGATAGCTCGAGAATTTTTTGAAAAACACGAATTGCTGAGTTGTAAGAGCCGCGTGCTGCGTATGCATCGCCCAGGGATTCCCAATAGACCATGCATTTATAGTCGTGCTTGATAGCAAGACGAAAGCATTGAATAGCCTAAAAAGAGTATGTATAATATATAATCAGCGAATAATAAATGTATTCAGCTGATTTAGAACTAATTAACATAGGAGGAATATGCGTACATTATCCAGTTTTTTCACTTTCAAAAAGTGCAATCCCAGTTTATACTGCAAGCGAATGGCATCATCGCTGCTCAAGTGGCGTAAGGTATTGAGCAACAGTGCTTCATTTAGATCCTCTTCGCCCAACTGCTGATAGATTGAGCTTAAGGCATCCACAGCCTCTTCGGCCAAAGCATTCAGACTAACGCACTTCTCAAAACATTTGCGCGCTCGTAAAATATCATCATTCGCTTGATACAAGTGCCCCAAGTGCTCGAAGCATTCAGCTATGTGGGGCTGTAGTCGTGTCGCCTTCAGCATGCAGTTCAGCGCCTCGGCGAAATTTTGCACCTTCATATTCAGCTTGCCACGCAGCAGCAGCGCTTCGAATGATTCATTGTTGGCTAGGGCTTCAAGAGCTTCCGATGGCGGACTATAAAACGGATATAGATGTTAGGCTTATGAGTGCCATGGGACCAACTAGGCTTACAGTAGAAATTCAGCGTGTGTAACTGCATCTAGTGGCAAGGACTTCAACTTTTCCACTTCTCCCAGTTTATAATAGCACCTGAAGGTAGAAACAAGATGGATAAATATAAGCTACCTATCATATCGTATACTATTCTATAGAGATATTCTACAAACCGTGCTAGAGCCTTCAAGCTAAGTTCATCTGTTGCTGCTTTATCCTTCAGCAGCTTAGACGCCTCCTCCAATAGTTTGGCATCCATTTTATAGGACAAACATTGAGCATACTCTTCATGCTGCTCGCCCAGCTCCTGCCACAGCAACAGCGCTAATTTATGAGCTCCCAATTTCATGTGAATCCTAGCCAGAAGCTGTTGAGTCATCCTATAGCTTGGTTGGTATTCCAGAGCTTGCAAAGCCAATTGTCGAGCCGCAACGAACTGCTCTTTTGAATACAACTCTAAAGCCTGAACAAGCAGCGCTAAATTTGATTTGGGATTGAGTTGCAGCAGCTGTGCGGCATATTCTGAAACAGGGCGACGCAGTTCGCTTTGCCAAGCTTTATTGTTCACCTTCTCATGATTCTCGCAGTGCATCATACAGATCCATTCATAGGCATAGACATCACGTGGATGTGATTCAGTCATATTGCAAGCGTGGCGCATGCAGCTAACATAGTCCTGCTGCTTGTAGAGGAACTTCAGATAACGCTTGTAGACCATGCTCTGTAGATCGGCATCACCCACTGACAACAGTTTGTCCATGCTCATCTTGTACTATTAGGTAGAGAAAGGGATTACAATTAAGCTGGGATATTGCCACAAGTATTACTTACGAGTTCTGCTTCTGCGGCTGGCACCTCCATTTCGCTGCTAAACCATAATCTGCCCAGATACTCTAGGATCTTATTGAAATGGCTATCATTCGGATTCTGTGCCTTCTTCTTGAAAATGTCAAGGCATGATTTAGTCAGCGCAGCATCCGCCGCCAAGGCATAGAGTTTTTCATAGTATTCCAAGCATTTCTCTCTACAATTACAAAATTTGTTGGACCTTTTTGTTAATTCTCGATTGGTCACACTTACGGCAATAGCTCCACGAGCTGCTCGTAAATTTGTGGCAGCTCCTCTGCGGGCGCACAATTCGCCAGTCCTTGCAACGCGACTGTGGCGGGTCCTTCGGTATACTCAATGGACTTGCGGAGAAATTTGGCCGCCTCTACTTTGTCAATATTCTGGTAGGCAGCGCCGAGCAACAAGTAACCCATATAATTCTTTGGATCGCCCTTGAGTAGACGCTGCAATAAATGTCAAAATCAGCAAAAATAACAGAAGATTTCCTATTTCCATTTGTCTTCACTTGGCATTTATGTATGGCGTCTCCATATTTGGCCATTTTAATTGTTTCCCGTATGTCCTTGATTAGGGCTTTTGATTCCTTGGTACTCATTGTGGATATCATAGAAATTAACTTTATTTTATCAGCTTATTTCAATTGAAATGGTCAACATCAGTGTGACGCTACACAAATTATATTCTTGAATGAATCGAATAAACATCCTGCTCTATCGACTTGCAAATACCCTGCTAGTATATCGACTTAGCTTTGAAAATGAAAACTGCAAAAGTAAATGATATAACTAATCAGTTGTAATTGAATAAAAAGAAGATATGCAATGCTTCATTATATACAAAACTCTCCAACTATCAACCATATCATCAATGTATTTCCAAGTGTGTAGCAACAGTGAGATGAACTTGCTTCGGATTGCAGGTGATTTTGTGTGATAGGGGAGCACTGATCATTTACTTATCAGCCGGCAGAAGTTTAGTGTTGGAAATTTATTAATATACTTGGATTAATCAGGCACGTACGCACATGCCAATAAATTTCATGCAAATCACTGTGCGAAATGAAACTTGAGGCGAATTCCTACTTTGAATAGAATGAACAAGAATTTTTCAATTTTAACCAAGTGCTGCAAGTGTCGATAAAACTTGTTGCGGCCCGTGAAGCAGGTACATTTTTGTGCGATAGAGCAACACTGAAAGTTGTTTGTCATAAATAGCTGTAATAATGCGAAAGTATCAACAATTGGCGCTCTTGCTAATATCCTGCTTCAGTGTGGGTGTGCTCATGATGTACAAGAGCGAAAACAATCGCTTAAAATATGTGCTAAGGTATGTCAACTTCTTTGGCCGCAACGATGCGGCCGTGCTGCGTCGCATACAGAACAGCACAACGGCCGAGGATGAGGAGCGCCAATCCAAATGGGTGTTCACTAAGCCGCTGCCCGTTTGGCAGGTGATTGGAGACTCCTTTTATGCCTACTCGGCATACTGGTATGGAATAAAGTTATATATAGTATTTATGCTTAACTTAACACTGTTTGTGCCTTTGTAGGAAACAAAAGGAGCTGGTCGTTGGAGGCGAAGCTCACGTCATTGTTGTTGGCAAGAAGGGAGCCGTTGTGGACTTTCGGTGCAGCTTCGACGTGGGCGGCCGCAGTGTTCAGGGCAAATTTCGCTTTCAACGCGATGCAGCGGAGGGCGTGGTCGATGACAAGGCCAGCACCTTCACCAATTACAATTTTTTTTGTCAAGTCAGCCGCAATTTCGGACAGCCAAAATACGTTTCCTTTAGCGATGCGACGTCTCCGATCAAGAGGCAAGTGAAGCTGCATCTTCGGCACTTGAAGCCGGCAAAGACAGCTGCCAAGGCAACAACAACAACAGCAGCAGCAGTACCAGCTGGAGCGACCCTTACTGAAGTGCCTGTTCGCTTTCCTGCAACAATTTGTGTTGATTTGGTTAGCTTTGATGTGGGTTCGCGATTCGCGCGCAATGTGGATGCCATGGTGCAATTCTTCCTCTTCCACCAGGCGCTGGGTGTCCAGCACTTTCTAGTGTACAACTACGATGAACTGCCGGAGCAAGTTGTACGCCTTTTGGAGCGCACCAAAATGCATCTGTATAGCTTGCCCTTCAACTTCCCATTTCTGCAAACAAATGGCACAGCTGCTCGAATTCGTCAGCTGCTGCAGACGGATTGCCTGCTACGCAATGTGAACTATGCTAGCTTCACGATGCTGCTCGCTCCGAACGAACTGGTATATCCAAATGCACGCTTTGCGGGCAACTTGGGCAAGAGCTCGCTGCAGCGGCAACTGCGCGCCTATGAAAGCGAAACAGTTCGCTTTGAGCTGTCCAGCTTTGCCGTCTGCTTTGATGAGCGCAAGAAGCTGCTCATAGACAACGTGCAATACGATCCAGAATTGAGGTCCAAGGTGCTCCTGTATCGCCTGGAGTTGCCGGCAGCGCAGCTCCTGCTGCCCACAGCGAAGGGCGTGGAGCTGCCACTGTCCAGTGGCTTTGCGCATCGCTATGTAGAGTGCCAACAGGTGGGCGCGGATGGGCTACACGATTGGCGCACTGGCGTGCGGGAGGATCTGATGGAGCACATCACTCAGCTGCGCAGTGAAGTCGATTTACTCATTTAGATGCTAAGTCTAGAGTTAATTAAGCTAGTTAGGTTAAGCTAAAAGTATTGACTCAATTCGACTGCCATAATGCCAAAAAGCTTTAGCTATGACGTTTTTTCACTCAACTTCAAATTTTGTATAGTAATAGACAATTTTTAAAGAAAAACAATTGGACAATTAATTGAATTGGCTGCTGCAAAGGAAGAGTTAGCGAAAATGTCTAAATGGATACTATTCAATTAAAGTAGGCAGCCAATAAGAAAATTGATTTAATGAAATTGGAGTATTGTGTAATATCGAAAATTTTCTGTCGCTTCGACTTTATTACTATTTAAGCCTTCGCTAGGTCTATTAATTGACTATTGAAAAATTCACTGAATTTTATATACATAAGTATTTGTCAAACATAAAAAATTAATTTCGATTCAATTTCAATTGTCTATGCCTCTTCCAATTGTAAGACGAGCAATAAAACATAAACAATTAGCTCATAGAACGTCCAATCGACTTATTTTCATCAACATCCGATTAGATAATAATATTCTTTACTTGAAATTTCAATTCCAATTTAAACTGCCTTATAGCAAATAGCAGATGACACATGCCTGACTAAACACGTTTCAATTTTATATATTATATATATATATATAAAGACACATATTGTAAACATCGATTGGGTAGTACAATATTGTTTTAGATATTTCTTTTCTGTTCATTTTTTGTGAATGTTTGCAGTTGTATTTGAGGGACTGAACTGCATTTGAATGCGCCATATCCATATATTATTAATATTCATTATTATTATAAATTTTCCGCGTTTATCAGTTTTATTTTAGGCGTTGCATAAGCGCAGCATTCCTGAGGCCAGCCTTCTCGATGGTGGAGCTGTCATCGCTTAGTTCGCGTGTAGGAAACGAAGAGACCAAAACAAAGTTACTATTCGAGTACTGCGGACGAGCACTGTTAAAAGGAAAAGAGAAAGAATATATCAAACAGGTTTACAAGCCGGATTGAAGTCTAAATTACTTTTGTATAAAGCGACGTATGTCGGAAACAGTGTGCGTCAAATTGAACTGAGCCGCCAGCCTAGAGCCGTCTGCCAAGCGTATTTGGAGCGTTGTCAAAGGAGCTTCGGCATTCAAGTTTAGGGCATCTCGTGCAGTTGCCTCGTGGCTGGCCACTTCAGTAGGTGATGCCGCAGCGGCAGCAGCGGCTGGTGCTTTATTGGTCACAATGTTGGCCACCGGACTGCCAAGTTTCTGGCCCGAACCCTTGAAGGTTTGTGGCACTGCCTGACGCTTGAAATCCTCCTGTCTGTGATCCTCCACATCTACATTGACCATGCGACCCATTTCCAGCAGCTCTTGGGGGATTTCACTAGAAGAGAGTCGCCGAGATAAATATAATGCATTTTGAAATATCAAACCAACTGCTTACCCCCTCATCACGGTCTCCAGGAACTCCTTGTTCTGCGGATCATCATAGTGACGCAGTTCACCGCCATCGATAGAGAATCCTTGGCTCCATAGCTTAAGCACCACAACCGGCTTGTTTTCCGTTGCCTGTGCTGCTTGATTGGTACCCACTACTGTGTGATCACTATCTGTCATGCCCAGCCGCATGCCCTGACCCCAAACGTTGCCGCCGCCGACAGCCGAGGCGCTGGTGGAGGGTCCGACTCCCACTTCGGCTATGTTTTGCTCCTGTGCCGAGCGCATCATATCGGTCAACTGCTCGCGAAAGTTCTTACGTTTGGCCGGTCCCAAAACTTGCTGCCCAGAGCGATCAGATCCTCCGGCATAGAATGCCTGATGCTCGTCATCACTAGATGGTTGCTTCGACATGTCGCTGAGCGTAGCAAATCTAAAATGAACATAGAAATAGTGTCTGCATCAAACAACGCTGCTCACTTACTTTGGTTTATTAGCTGCGGCTTTTGGCGGAGCCGTCGCAGAAGCAACTGATGCAGCTGGGACGCTTTTTGCTGCTGGGGCTGCAGCGGCAGCGACGTTGGCGCCAGCGCCGACGCCAGCAGAGGTCGTAGTTGTTACCGGCGCCGATGTTGGATTGCTCGACTGACCCCCTACAGTTGGAGTAGCTGGCAAATCAGTCTGTGTGCTCCAGTAGTTACCTAGAGCTTGCTGCACATTCACATATAAAATAAAGATATCATTTCAGACCGTTCTTTGTTAAATAGTTTCTCTGCAAAAATTTACCTCAATGTCCCAGTCGCAGCTGGATAGATAAAAACGGGCAACGTTTTCATCAGTGCCAGTGATTTCAATGAATTGTGCAGTTAAATCGCCGCGAGCGGCCATTTTTTACAATGTTTTTACTTAGTTTTTGCGTCAAAAACAAAATAAATCTAAAAGTTTCTAGTGAACGATAATGATAGACAAAAATTCAGTGTGTCTCTAAAGCTTATTATTGACAAGAGTGTGACCCTATCGATTTCAGTCGAATATGCCAAAAAAAAAATACCAGACAGGGTTGCTTTTTATCGATAATTTTCAGCTGCCATCGAAAGTGGAACTGTGGCAACTCTGTTCGGCGGGCATTTCAAATAAATATAAACACAATTTTGAGCTTTTCGTCTTAACATTTTCATTTTATTAAATAGCAACTAAATAACAATATAACTAATATAAAGCGGAATATCCATATAGCATAACATCACCCACCGGTTTTTTCGTATTTAGAGTACAAAAAGTACATGGTTTTACTTAGTTTGATTTTGCGTCCTGAAAGTATAGATTGATGCATACAAAAAATAAATACAACAGTTTAAAGAATTTATAAGCATTAAGCCTGTGTTCTGAACATATCCATAGGCATATTTCAATATTTAAAATTCTAGTTAATTAGTAGAAGCAAGCCCAACGAGTTAGAAATTAACACTACTCCAAATATGTTTCCAAAAATATATTCAAGGATTAAATTAAATATATTTTATTTATATATGTATATATATATATATATGTTAACTGTCCACTGGCTGATGAAGTTGCAACACGATTTTTAAGTCCGCCATTTGTTGGGTATACAAAAGTTCTAACGCAACACCTTGCCCTAGAATATTTTGGATATGATTTATGAATTGAAATTCGGAATTTTTGTTGTAGTGCAATGGGTTGATTGTGCGTGATGTACATACATGTAAAATTAAAGACATTAATAGGCGTACCAACAAATGACATAGACTTATTAAACATGTACCTTCCTTACCTGCAAATAGTAGTTGGTCAAAAAGGTGAGACCAACGCCCAAGCCAACTGCCAGGATGTGCGTCAAGTGTAAATTGGGCAGAGGTCGACGTTTGCGCAAAAGGAATGAAAGCAACGAAGCCTTACGATCCGAATAAGGCGGATAGCGAGCGCTGTAAAGATCAAGATGAATTATATGTACTTATATAAGAGAATAATGTTATACTAACGATGCCATCTTTTCGCCTAGCAGGGCCAAATTCTTGCCCAGGCAAGATTTCTTATGTGTGAACGTATCAAAGCCATATTTGCCATGGTAGCTGCCCATGCCGCTCATGCCGACGCCGCCAAAAGGCAGGGTATCAACTGTGAATAAAAGCACGGTATATAAGTATACAATAATGATATGAGCATTATAAGTGTACGAGGGTGGTTTGAAAAATTTATAAAAACAAATATGATATGAACTCACAGTTTCGAATAAGCAATAATTCATTTAATGCATATGGATTTGTTATTAGCGTGCAAATTTTTTAAACCAACCTCGAAATTAGTGTTAGTTTTATAAAGCTCTTTATAGCTATAAAATATCTAGTGTTAATTGCACACCAAACACCAATTGTTAATTTGCGCAGTTAGTTAATAAATTGCGGAATTTTGTTCAAAGTTTGTAAATTTACATAATATATACAAAAATCAATTCAATAAGCCAAATTTCTTAATAAACAATACACATTCAATAGCTTGTACTTAGGTGTTGTGTGTGCTGCAGGGTATTTGTGTCTCGGTTTAGTTTTGAGCCAAACTATGCTTTATATCAACAATAAAACAATTTAATTTTGCTGCAAAATGTGTTTGAATTTGAAAACAAAGTTCTTGAAAGTGCATACATTTTTGAAAAATAAAAATAAAAGCTACATCTACAATATATATTCATATACATAAATATACCTCCGACATGCATAATAGTTTCGTTGCTGCAGAATCCGCCACTTGTCGTGTTCTTCTTGAACTCATTGATAATCTTTTTTGAGTTTGAGAATACGTAGAGCACTAAAGGTTTCTCTCTATTTAAAAACAATGAAACAAAGCGCTAAAGATATTTGCATATGTATAGTCATAAATACTAACGAAATTGAACAAACAATTACGGGAATTATTAATACATGATATTTGATGAATAACAAAACAAAATGACGAATATGTATTTGGAGCATAAGTTTGAAGTGTTCTTTCTTTCTTTCTTGTTGAAAAATTAAAATTTCTTTGAAAAGAGATAAAAATAAATTTTAATAAAAAAATACTACATATTTATAGATGAGCTTAATTTGTCAGTTCTATTTGATCAGCTTCGTAGGATACGGAGTCAGCAGGAGTGAAACGAACTGGTTCGTTTAAACTTCCATTCGAGAGTGTGAACTTACAATATGTAAAGTATCGATAACTGAACTGACAGATTACACGTTAATCGTTAATCATTATGTGCTAAATTCTAAATGCCATTGCAATTCTTCAATAGAGATACAGATATTTGATAACTACTAAATCTACACAATAATAAATTGCATTTAGCCTGCAAGATTTACTTTTCTGCAACTTTTTTCTAATGCTTATGTATTCAATCGGGAATTAGGGAGCAAAAAGACCAAAGTTTAGATATATATAAAAGTAAATATATGTATATAAAAGCCAATTTAATATTATAGAAAATTTTGTATATAGCATTCAACAAATATTTAAAAAATACATTTAGGGAACACAAAACGCATAAAAAAGATTTCAAGAACATATTTAAAATTTATATACAAATCATTTAAAAACCGTCACCAGATTTTAACTCCTAACTATTTACAACTTAAAAAACAAATTATTAAAAAAAAAAACTGAACAGGCATTATAGGGAGCGACAGAAAGAAGGACGAGGGGCAGCCGTAACCTTAATAAACAATTGTTCATAGCGGAGATAATTGGAAGAAGAGATAAGCTGGGGCTTATAGCATCCTTATATACATATATTTATATATACATGTATGAATAACCGCAGCCACAAAATTGGAAATTCGCAATTTCATCCATGTTTGATCTTGGATCTTGGATCTTACCGGCATAATGCATAATCGTGTCGTTAACGCACATTCCGCCCGATTGGGTGCCATTGACAAATAGATCGAGCACCTCATTTTCCGACGTGAATATATACATGACGAGAGGATTTTCTCTAATATTTTTGTGTGTGTGTGTGTGTTTTTTTTCAATTGATTTAACAGATATAGAAATAATATTATATAA